TAAAACCTTTTCTGTGTTTTTGTATTGATAATTCTCTATTTCAACAAAAATTTAGACTTAATTGAAAGAAACATTGTTGACAACTTTTTTTAATCCCTTAATTTAATGAAATCAGTGGCAGTCAAAATGTTCAAAAGCACAAAATAGTGTGTCGAAAAAATAAAGTGTTATTATTAATTACATTGAAATGTTGGATATAGATACATGATCTCTTATTTACATGGATATAAAAATGGTTGTGTGTATTTTCAAGTATTTAATCGATCAAAATGAAAATCCCAAATGAATATGAAACTGACAATTATTTCAAAAACGTTCCAAGCTGCGAGTAAACTTACTGAATTTCTTATCCTGAAAGATCACAACTTTCACTCTTTTGTCCTCATGATCTTTCTCTCCCCTATGTGCTATCCCCTCTAAAATAAAATCAGCTTGAGATCGATAAAAATGCATCAATGGAAGTCTTCTTTTACGACTCCTTCTGTCCTGTATACTTCCTTGTATTAATAATTGCAGGGTAATGCTGGCTGCTTGTGTTCCAGATGTTACAATTTTCCAATGTTAATAGGATTTAACTCCTTTTTTATGATTCTTCTTAAATCCTTGATACTGGCGGCTCTATTAACCCAACTTATTCGTAATATTCTTCTTAAAGTATATAATTCGAACGTTTTCAATTTGTCTGAAACGTATTTCTTTAATTTAAGTCCCCAACCCATAAAATAATACTAAGAACACGAAACAGTTAAGAAGTTTTATTTTTAAATAAATTGTAATGTATTGCTACAAAAAACTTTTTTTAGTTTGTTGAAAACATTTCGTGCCAGTCCTATTCTTATATACTATTATAAACTAATACTAAGGTGTATAGCACAAAATAACAAAAACTTTTAAGAGAACAACTGAGAAGTACAACTCAAAAAATTGAGAACTTGCATGTTTGTATAAAACACAACAGTGATTAGTAGGTTCACATCTGAATGAACGAAGTAACAACACGTACACAATTAGAAAGATGCTCATCTGGGACTGGTTTTGTTCTTTGATTTCACGAAAGTGGTAAAAATAGGCTATGATCTTACTGAAACTATGTAAATATACCTACTCTGCTTTTACATGCACCGTAGGGAAATATTTAAAAAAATTTAACTGTCAAATAGAAAATGCAACCGAGTACATAAAAATAAACGGTATATATAACAAATAACATAATAAACGCTGACGACATAGTAATCCTTACCATGAGCATAGATGAATTATTAAAACATTCAATGGAAAGTTTCAGTTGGACTACGGCCTCGGCCCTAACTTTATAAAGACAAAATAGATGCTGATAAGTAAAAAACCAGCAGCTTGCTCGATAGATATAGATATACAACATATTTATTGACCATCTAGAATATTACGTAGATCTTTGCACTAATGTAAATGCAGAATAGAGACAGCCCACAAAAATAAGGTCAAAAGTAAAATGAGATAGAGCATAACCTAACAATAAAAAAAAGTTCCTGATAGTAAAGACTTGTTTCTACAGAAACAAGATCCACAGAATTGTAAAAGAGAATAAATCGTGTGAGCAACATAAAACAAAGAAATCTTACACACATATTGAGACACGATAATAGCTGTCTACTCCAATTGCTCATTCAGGAAAAATGACACACATGGTTCAAAAATCTTCGGAAATGGTTCAGGCTTACATTGGTCGAACTTTTTATAAGTGACGTAATCAAGATCAGATATGCCATTTTAGTAGCCAATCATACACTTGCAGCGCATTGATTTAAATGTGGTAGCATTTGCTTGAATTCATTAATGTTAGTGCCTATTAAAACAATATTATCAGATAATCTAAGATGATTTTATTAGCAGTAGTTTTGCATTTTATTCATTGAAATTTGTAAGAAATTGCGTAGACAGAGATAAAAGTTGCCTCTCTGGCAATAATAACAGCTTGCCAAGGACGAAACATGCTTTGAGTCAGATTTTGGATCACATTTTGCGCAAAACAGTTTAGTTTCTCCATGAATATGTTGCACAGTTCTTTTGAATTACTATAAGCCGACACATGACTCAGTAAATATCTCTTTATCTCATCCCAGTCAATACATCATTGTGTGATTTAAACGTCGTCAAGGTGCTCAGTAACTATACAAGCAGTGTAGGACCGTGCATTATCATGCAGAAATGTTGCGTTGTCGACAAGAATAACCATTTACGGTAGAACATAGTTTTTTATGATCTGTATTAGGTACTTATGTGCAGTCATTGGCCTATTCTCGATAAAGACTAACTCCGTGCAAGCGTCAAACGATATGCCCTCCCATGCTATACCTGGGCTTGGACATACATGCTTGAACAAGAGCATACCTCTCGCCTGAACGTCGCAACACTATTAAACGTTTGTCTGAGCCCGTAAGACAGAATCTCAATTCATCGGAAAACAATATATTACTCCAATCTTGAATTGATCAAGCCAGTCTTTTCGTGTAAAATTCAATCTGTCAATTCGGTGTTTACGGGAAAGCGGTTGTCCAATTACTTAAGTTCGAAAAGATAAACTAGCAGCATGCAGTGGCCTTCTAACTGCCCATTCAATCACGTTTACATTTCTCACTTCCGCATATGATTTCGAAGGAAAACTGCCGTGGCCGTTTGGTTTCTCAAAGCACTATAAATGACAAAGAGGTCATCTATAGCTGTTGTAATTCTGCCTCGACCTAAACCAATTCTTCGAGTAAGCAGACCGGTCTCTTCGTATCGTCACCATACTGGTTGCACACTCGAGAGACTTACACTAACGTGTTTCAGGCTGACCATGGCCATCTTCTAATGCCGCCACAATTTTTCCGCTACAGTAAAACTTATGCTTATTAAAATACACTGACAGTAACAATACTGCACATACAGTTTACAAGTGATGCTTAAACCACAGAAATAAAAATTATGCTGATAATAGTTTTTAATTATTATGGTAAAGGGATCTTTTTATCCCAAACGCTTATCGAAACAGCAATGTTTTTTTCTTTAAGCAATCCATTACTAAAATATGTCTGAATCGAAAATAGTTAATCAATTTAAATTACGGCGTCACCGTAATTTTATACTCGGTACTCTACAACATTCCAGTAGGAACCAGGAAGAGAGGCAGGCCAAGATCTAGATTTAAAACTCAAGTCGAAGATGACTTGAGGAATCTAGGGGTCAGAAATTGGAAAATTAGGGCGAAAGATATGGGAAATGGAGACTAATTCTTGAACAGGCCAAGACCCACCCAGGGTTGTAGAGCCAAATATGATGATGATGACTGTACAACATAGTTATTGGTTACTTAAAGAAATATGTAATCATATATACCGTTTAACATCATTTTGTTTATTTTACGCTGTTTGCTATTTTTTGTTTATTGTGAAAGTTTTTCTGTTTCGTTCTAAGAAATTGTACGCAAAGAACCTTACTAAAACATTTTGGTTGCCGCTGACTTAACTTTATCCATGCAACATATTCCGCATTTAGAAGCTTAATATTTTACTGCGCTTTTATCAAATTATTTATTTTTTTAAGTGTATAGAAAAGATTACAAAAAATTAATAAAAGGTAGAATATTTCCTTAGAATGATTTATTAAAATAAACAATAAAAACTGCATTATTTTCGTTAATAGTGTGCGGTAAAAAGCACAAAAAGTGTATATTAACAGCCTAGTAACCTTATTGTGAACAGTTATTATCATTTTTATCCACGTATATGCGTCACATTATGCAGTCGAATTGAGAATATCTTTAATTTGTGTTATTTCGAAACAAGTGTATAATTTTTATCGAATTTTTTTGAGTCGAAACACAACAAATATCAGTTGATTTAGTATTGTTGGCCATTTTGGCAAGTGTTTAAATGCGGTTATCCATATTTTATTTCAAACTAGGTAATAGGGGTACTAGCTACTTATTACAAAGTTATGTTTTTTATTTATATTCCTTTCCCAACACCTGTACATGCTTGCTTTTTAAGATATTTCATAACAATTATTGTATGATCTTAATCGATATCAGATGGAAAATTATCACAATTAGCCATTGTCTCAGTTAGCTAAGTAACTTGACAATATTCTGTCATGAATTTATATTAACAATTCTTTGTGTAACAGAATAAAAGAAGGTTAGAATATACTGTGAAGTACTTAATATGCTTTCAATTTATTGTTTTTGTCTATTATTGTAAATCTGGAGTATCTTTATCACATAGATATACCGTAGAAGAATTTAACTGTGTATTTTAAACTATAACAAAGTATTTAACTATGTATAAATTTTTGTCCTAAATTAACGCTTTTAGTAATTCAAAAACTTCGCAAATTTAGCTTACTTAGAAGTATAGTTTAAAATAAACTAAATTTTATGTTTAAAAGATTCTTTAAAAAAATATAGTTTTTTTGGTAGCTGCTGTCGTCTTAAAATAAAGCAACCAGCGGAGTTGGTGAAAAATAATATATATAAGGAGGATTTAATAATGATAAATGTATAGATAACAACATTCAGATTCAAACACATAGTTTAGAATGTTTAGAGCGTAAACCTGTATTAAAACTTCTCTACACAAGCAGCATCCTTCCCATCACGAGACACATGAGCAAATCAAATCTTATCAGATATGATTTACTGCTAGTTTGTCTATGTCAAATATATCTAGGAAAGTTTTTTATTAAACAAATCTGACTCGTATTGGAAAGTAGCGCTGTGAAGTTTTAAGACAGTGCTTGATTTTTTGTGTGCAACTTGCCGACATACTTATTGACAAGGTTTTTCTCGCATCGACTGCACTCAGGTCAGCACTTTATATAGCGTGCTGTGACTAAATGATAGTGTCCGCAAATTGAGCGCCCATTCGTCTCGATAACGATAGATTCGGCCGGTGGTCAATATACCTCGCGGGCGTATACGTGGCTAAGTCAAGATCGGGCCTACGCGAGAATAGCGCCTCGTAGGCGCTCGGGAGTCACTATCAGTGTTTGTATTCGGGGTATCTCTTCGGCCTGTGGATGGTCGCGTGATCGGGGTGGGGGACGTGGCTTCCTGGTGTCGGGGCCGGCGCCCTGGCAATGCTCGGCGGTTCTTCGCTCGTCGAACTGCTCGGCGAAGGGTAGTACTCTCGAGGAACGGCACTGCCTACGTTTACGGAACCGCCGCTGGGGCCTGGCTGACCCCCCATCGTGTCCTCACTCGCCCACCGGGCTAGCTGCTGCTGAGCTTGAATAAATTCATCACTAAAAAATAGGAACAGTAACAGTACTACCAAGATGAAATGGTAGCAAAGTTATTTCATTTGTTTGACTATGTTTATCTATTGAACCAAATATCACAGCTTAAATAAAAATTTTGTTTATAAAATAAAAACCAAATTTTATGTAGTTATTTATTTTATTATTAATAGTGCACTTTTCTACCTTAACCAGTCATTTCAATTAAATAAGAGGTGTATACTTCTTATATAAATATCAATACAGCCTACATACAAAGCAAATTATCAGAGATCGACTAAAAGAAATAAACAGAAGTCAGTCAAAAATTGCTATACTTCAACAAGTACATTTTTTATCCTGTAATGGTTAGAGGAGTTTCATAAATAAAAAAAAAAACAGGAAAATGCATGTTGAGTCTCATATGTAAGCGACTTTAAAACAAGAAAACTGTAAGTTAAGTCATATTTTAAATACGCACGTGTGAAATTGTCTGTCTCTTATCAACCGCGTCCCCAAGTGGTGGATAAAGAAACGCTATAACCTGCCCTAGGACCGACGGGTAGGTGGGAAGTAAAATACTACTTCTTCTTTTTGTGCCACTCCTATCGGAGATTGGATATCATCAAGGCTATTCTGATCTTGTTTACGGCTGACCTAAAGAGTTCATTAGTGGTGCAGCCAAACCACTCTCTCAAATTCCGCAACCATGACATTCTTCTACGGCCTGGATTCCGTTTTCCTTCTATTTTTCCCTGCATTATATTTTGAAGTAATGCATATTTATGTCCTCTCATCAGGTGACCAAAATATTCGAGTTTTCTTCGCTTTAGCGTTAACAAAATCTCTGGGTCTTTTCCTATTCTTCGTATTCTTCTAAAAATACTACTAAAGAACCAAAACGGACTAAGGTATGGCAACCATAAAAAAAGAGTCCCTGGCTCTACACGTCTGAGGTTGCGCTAGAGGACAATACCCTATTCCTGCAAAAATGCATATGTTACAAAACCTCAGGAACTATTAGCTGTGCGGAACTTACGACGACTGTGCAAATGTGAAATGAACAAAAAAATACTTTATTTATAGTTTAATCAATTCATATGTTCAAAACTGATGACAAACTAAAGGAAAAAAAGAACAGTTCATTGAAGACCTAAGGAAAGCCTACAAAAATCGGACAAGAGCAAATTTCATGCCCATTAAAGGAAGAAATAGCCTACACAACATCAGTAGCGATAATGGATTATTACTGGTAAACTTAGCAGCAGTACTTAATATGACAGTCGCTAACACTTATTTTGAATATAAGAAGATACACAAAATAATCTTGAACTCTCTTGATAAAAGAACGAGTCAGATTGATCATATCTTAATAAATTCAAGGCATGGAACAGATGTAATAATTGTAAAAGTAACAATTGAATTAATGACTGAATTTGTATACCTAGGAGCGCTTCTTAACATTAATAATAGTACTCCCTACTGTAGAAATAAACCGTAGAATTTGCAAAGACAACAGATTCTATTTTGGGCTCAGTCTCTTTCTTAAATCCTCAACTATATCAAGAAAGACAAAAGTTCTACAAAACAATAATACGCCCAGTCTTAATATATGGTTCAGAGACTTGGACTTTAACCAAAAATTTTGAAGACATGTTAGGATGTTTCGAAAGAGGAGTACTAAGGTAAGTTTTGGTAGCGGTGAATGACAATGGAGTTTGAAGAAGATAATACAACTTAGAACTTTATAGAATATACTAGGAGCCAGATATCGTAAGACATATTAAAATAGAACGCCTGAAGTAGATAGGACATATGAAGCGAATGGAACAAAATTACCCCACAAGAAAAACGCTCCTTGATAGACCCATTGGTCAGAGCAGAAAACGAAGACCCACAACAAGGTTTCTTGTTGTGGGTCTTCGGTATCCGCTTTGCGGATAAAGGCAATGGATAGGAATGACTGAAGAGAAATTCTTAAGAAGGCTAAGACTTACGCAGGGCTGTAAAGCCAGAATAATAATGATGATAATATTATAATATTCATAGGGTAATCACCCATACACGAATCAGAATCTTATTAAGCATTAAAATCAGTGATACCATAATTTACACACCATAATTTAACAATTTATTTTTAAACTCCATCACTTACTGAATAAGGACCTAACTTTCTGGTTTCTAATGTTTACAATTGCAAAGCTTTGTGCCCTCCAAAATAAATTGGCAGGACCCTGGTGCCCTCGTGGGGCTCCACCTCCCCCGTAATACCTGTGTTGCGGGTCACGCTATCCTCCCGTGAGTCTCACCCCCCCCCCCCCCGGAGGCGGAAGGCTATGTAGATGGTGGAATGCCACCTCGCACAAAAACAGGTCGCCGCCGAGGAATCGCTCCTCTACCACTCTTAGATCATTCCGAGGTGGATACGTTCCGAGTCTAACCACAACCCCTTCCGCGGTGTCGGCTTCAGGAGGTGCATACGTACCCGGCTCATGCAACCTCACTCGCCTCTTGTGGAAAATGAGAGTAGAGTGGTCCCACGAGGTGCTCGTCTTGGATACTAGGAATGTAGACCGGTGACTGAGATGACTAAGCATCTCTGTGCGTTTCTACCAACCCGACACCTTAAACGTCGGCCCTCCACCTCTCATATCCGCCCATTAGTCGCCTCTTACGACAGGCAGGGTTTTCTGGCCCCGCCGTATTCTTATCTCCTCGAGCCGGAAGGAGGTCTAATGTTTACCAGTAGGATTTTTTTAAACAGACTGATAGTAATTCTTAAAATACAGTAAGAATTTACCGCACATCTTGAGGGATGGGTTTGTTACCGGCCATGTGTTATTTTCCGGCAGTTGTAACATTAAAAAAACCAATTTCCTCAGTGCGATGACTGCCGAATATTAAGCTTGATGTCTCGTATCCTTCAAATTTCTGTTGGAATCATCCATACACGGATTTATGAGAATTGTTAGTTTCAGATGAGTGGTACTCGATTCTGATTTCAAAATGGACTGGAAATAAGAAAAAGCTTTTTTTGTCTTAAATTTATTGCAACACAACGATGCAGAGACATAAATGTTGAAGTAATCTTGATTGTGTTGTTTTTGTAGATATTTTTGATCGTTTTGATTATTTCTAGAGATATCTCACTTACGTCCAATAAGTGCTACGGAACATATATATACCGGTTTATTGTATTCTAATTATTTCTCGCGCACTTGGTTCAATATAAATATATCATCAGTGCATGATCTTTCCGACCTAGCTGTTCGTCTGCTAGTGATATAATTTCATTCTGTTTATTTGTTTTCACTTTAGATTTTAATGTTAATATTATGTTTAATAAATTAATTACTCTAAAATTTTCGGGGTCCGATTTGTTTCCCTTTTTGAAGAGATGTATTAGCGTGCTTGATCTCGATTCTTGTGATATTCTCTTTTGTTCTATTATTTTTTGGATTAATTTTAATAAGTATTTGTTTAGAACTGGTCATCCGTGCTTTATGAGTTCATTCGGTATTCTGTTTTCTCCTGGTTTTTAGTTTCCTGGTTTAGTTAATGATTTCTTTAGCCTTCCACCTCAATATTTATATTTTTGGTTTATTGTTACTTGTGGTGTTAGTGGTTCATTATCGTCATTTTTAGCAAATAGGGGTCAAAATCAATTTTTTTCTTTACATGTTTTCTTCACTTTCCTTATAAACCATGGGTTTTCTTTTTTGATGTGTTAGTGTTCGTTACTTTCCTTCTTCCAAGCGATTCGTTTTTCTATGTTAATTGTGTTATTTTTTTGGAGTTTTTCGTAGCTCTGTTTGTTTTGATTCCCAGATATTTTTTTTTTGCTTTATAAGCATTCCATATTTAGTCCTACGACTCTGATTTTTATTTACATTGGCATTGCTCTTTTGGAGAATGATGATTTTTATTTTATATATTACTACGCTAAAGTTGCTACCTACATCTGCTAAAATGAAGCATCTTACATCGATCAGTTTTGATGGATGTATATCTCAGTTAGTTATAGTATGATCTATCATATATCTTTGTCGACAGGTGTTACAAAGTATATATTTGTGTTGGTCTTTGTGACCAAAATAATATTTTGTTTCCTCTAAGTTTGTTATTCACGCAGAATATTTAGATCTTCCTTTATTATTCTTATGTTTGCTGTTACAATTATTTCTGATATATAGTCACACTCTTGGTATAGCGTAAATGTCTATTTGTTTCTCTTTCTAACTCTTGGATTATTTCTTGGTCCCTTAAGTTGAGCAATGTAATGCACAAATAAAAATTATATCAAGAATGAAATAATCGAGTAATAATTATGTACATGAATACAATTTCTACAAGAATACATTTTTTCTTTCTTGCTCTATGACTGTAAGTTGGACATTGGACTCAAAAAGAAAAACGAGAATACATGCCTTGAGACGTATATCTAAAGACTGGTGCTGAAAATTCCATGAATAAAAAAGTTATCAACGATAAGGTATTACGACGCATAAGTAAATAAAAAGAACTTCTAAGCACGATTAAAAAGGGGAAAATAAAATAACTTGAGGTCATGTAAATAGTAGTGTAGTCAATGTAGTTAATACAAGGTCATGTCTTGAGAAATGAAAGTTGTGAATTACTCCAAATTATATCAGAAGAATCTGTCCGGGTACCCGTTTCTGAACAAATGTTTCGCGGTACTAACACTGAGATCACGAGATAGAGCACATTTTGCGTCTGTACACGATTTAAAACAGTGTCTGCGGTGTTTTTCGCGTAACTAAAAGCAGAAGACAGATAATTAGTTAGCGTCAGTCAATAGTAAAAAGAACACCCCTGTCACTAAACGACAGTCAATAGCGGAGAGAGAGTGTCCATTCTCATCGATAGGCAGCAGGTAAGAGAGATACGTCTGTACCAAGCGATAGTTAACAGGCAAGAGAGAGTACGTCTGCCTAGCGAGACTCAGCAGACGCAAGAGAGCGACTTCTTGTTTGCTATGGTGCAGCCTTCTGTATTTCTAAAGGTGGCGAGGTTGGAGGTAATGACTGTAAAATTGTGGTAGAAGGATATTTAATACTACAGTAAAAAAATGACATGATTTTTCGAATCTGAAAAATTAAATATTCTAGATTTATTCTAGAATAGATAAATTACATAGTCAATCAAAGATTTTTAGTAATATCTAGAAATATTAGAAAAATATTTTTCTTAATATTTAATAATTATTTTAAAGCTGTGATATTTAATTTAATATACTCATGTTTTAAAATAACATAGTAGTAAATATCAATAGTAAATAAAATAAAATAGTGTTCAGTAGTTTTACATTCACCATTAGGTTATTTTAAAGTTTTTATTTAAAAATATACCAATAGATTTTTAAATACACTAGATCATCTATACCAAAAAGTTCTACTTCCACAGTTTGTTTTATTGAATAATAATTAAAAGTACAAAGAGTAAGTGTGTCTGTAATTTTGTATAAATGAATCAGTTTAATCAATTGTGGTTCTAAATTTAAGATGCAAAAATATTCTACAATATTATTTAGTAAAAACTGTGAAATAGAAAATTTCAACAACACCATAATATAGACAGTGATTACCTTTCACTATCGGGAGTGTCACCACATGGTGCTCCTCTTTCATGGTCTGCAGTTTCGTATATACTTTCCTCCTCGACTTGGTGATGACTATGGGGGTGAGGGTAAGGTAGCCTACTCGATGGCTGCCTGTGAGGACAACAAAAATTAATTTAGTATTGTAAATTAAAATAACACAAATAATATAAAATTTCTTGCTGTTAAAAGTTTTAAGTGTCGTCTTATAAAAGGATTAAGGGTACCTGATAATTGGTTAACTTTTACTGTAATATTGTGTAGTTTGACTATTTTAGTGTTTTTTTTTTATACAAGCGTTCATGAATTTTAATTTTGCTACACAAAGGTGTCAAAAAATGGATACTGGACCCATTTTGGATGAATAAAGTGGACACTAAATAAGAAAGAAGTTTCCGTTAAGTATCTAAAATGTATAAACATTAATAAATATTTTTTTAAAGGATGATCGAAAAAATGACAAGTTTTAAATATTCATTCCTCTGGATTATACTGTGTTTAAATAATTGTACCGGTGTAAGGTTGTGTAAGTGTGGTCTTGGATATAATTATTACTGAAACCACTCAGATCAAAAACTGTTACTTCGTATATAGTTCTTTGGAGTAATAGGTATGTTTAGCAAAAGACAAAGACGTAATATAAAGTCCTGAAGATAAACAGAAATTAATATATGATTGATAGCAAACCACCTACTGATTACAAAAGAACATATTGGAAGACGGCTAGAGTAAGTAATTTTAATGTCGGTAGTAAAATTATTAGCAGAAAGAGATGCTGACTGTTTAAATTCTAGAAGAAAAACGATAAGAGAAATTAAATCTGGTAGTTCAAGTTACATGAGACATAGCTGTGAAGAAAAGTAATATTGCTGTGACTCAAAAAATAGTATAACTAGTTATAATCCAGAAAAAGATTAATAATTGTTATACGAAATATAAATAATTGTTATTGCAAAAGTCGATTCTGCAGGGATATACTGAGAAGCAATAATGATAAAACTACAATCCAAATTTGGATCATCAAAACTTATAATTGCGTTAATTGTCCATTACTTATTAAAAATGCCTCATTTTACTATACACATGTTACCATGAATATATATATATATATATATATATATATATATATATATATATATATATATAATATATATATATATATATATATATATATATATATATATATATATATATATATATATATATAGATTGAACGAAATAAATTCGGAACATAGGAATATAATGTATTTCGGCTCAATTCTGCTGTAGGTGGTTGGCCAACAAAAGATTGTCAAATAATTATATTATAAAAATGCCACACTTAAGCGGGCTGCTGGATTCTGAAGTCATAAAAATTGAAAGCTACACATAAATCTACGATTTTATTATGCTGTCAAACTAGTTATAGTCCAGGAAATGAAGCATTTCAACTCGCAATTTTTTCGTGCTGCGTGGATTGACTTCAAATTTAACAGAAGGTAGGTAATAGCCTAAGGATCAAAATCTCTATCGAACCAAAGTGCGCCAACACCTAGGGGGTGGTTGCCACCCCATCTCCGGGGTGAAAATTTTTTCACGTTTTAACTACAGGTTTCGATTAAAAAAGTGATTCTAAACAAAAGATGTGCTATACATTTTTTTTTTATAAAATGATGTTTTTCAAGTTATTCGCGATTGAAAGTAACAACTTTTAGACGCAAAAATCCACGTTGTTAATCGATTTTTCGCGAATAACTCGAAAGTAGTGCATTTTATCAAAAAAATTGTAGAGAGAACAAATTTGTAGCTTTTAAAAAGACAAATACAATTCATTTTTTAAAATGTTTTTGCGATATAATAGGAACCGAAATACGGCCTATCAATGTTTTCTTCAAATGACAAATTTTAAAGATTCAAAGTCAAATATTGGGAAAATGATTCATTTTTGGAAGAAAACTCACAAAACCTTTTTTAAAGAGCATAAATAGACCTATCATAAAAAAAGACTCTAGCTCAAAAATTGAGTGAGTTATGATGAAAATAAGGTCAATACCTAATTTTTTACGAAAAAATCGATGAAAACAACCCCCTAACCAACCCCATAATTAAAATCGATCTTCACCCTTCTGCAATTCCCTTTGTGCATGTATTGTTAATACGTCTAAGAAGTTTGAACCATTTAAAATGCTTAGTTTTAGAAAAAGTACAGCTTAAAGCGAGAAACGATTTAAAATTTCATATTTTTTACCCTTGTTTTTTTAAATATGCCCGAAAATACTAAATATACGAAAAAAATAAAAATTATCAAATTGTAGCCTTTTTAATGACTAAAATTAACCTTTATTTAGATTTATTGTACAATGAATATTTGGCGAGATATAGCCGTTTAAAGCATCGATTTACGATCAAGCACCATCTCTTTTTCGAGCACTTTAAACTCACCCCATTTAAAAACCAAGAGTTCCAAAAAGATTTAATTCCCAGATCCTTGTAGCTCTTAAAAACCTCTACAAATCGTTTTTGAAGAAACACTCTATCGTTAAAAATTAAAGGAAATGCGTTAAAAAAAACCAGTTAATTTTTTTCCGGAAAATTCCATTAGTATAGTACAGTACATTTCGGAGCATAATAATCTACAAAACCGGTATATTAGCTAGTGGGGCGTTATACATCCGAAATTTTAAGCGTTCTTATTTTGAAATCCCATACAACAGAATAAAACATCTGCTCATATGTCTATGGCTTGGCAACGAAAATATTAGAGCAACAGATTGGGGATGGTATTCCAAAGATGGTTTGTTATTACCCGTACGCATGAACAAACAACCTGCACCCGATGAACTTTTGAAAATTATTTTTTGCCAATGCAAAACAGGATGCGGCGTTTCATGTGGGTGCAGAAAAGTTAGTTTATACTGTAACTCTACTTGTTCTGGGTGCTCAGATGAAGGGTGCAATAACAGTCCACCAATAATTGAAGAAGATGAGGATGACATAGATCACGATGAGGATGTAATTGATGACGAATAAAATTAATATTATAATTGTTTTACCTATAAATGTAAATATTTTTAACTATTTATGTAAATGTATAAGAATATATGGTGCCTTTTTATGTTGATAATTTTTTTTGTATTTAATTCTACTTTTTTCAATTTATATCTTATAAATTAGTTTATAAAAACTGCAATGTTGTAAAGGGTGATTTTCAAAAGTTGAAAAGTTGCAAAATTTTGGCAAAAAATTGTTTTCACCTATAGCACTCATAACAATTGATTTTTAAGGGTTAAAATTGTATGAATTTGTATTTTAAAGTATAAAAAAATTACTACTTAACTAACCCAAACCAAATTTCACTCATCTTAAGATTTGTAATATTATTTTACAATTTTTGAAAATTAGGGGTAGTTTTCACCCCTAAGAACAATCAGGGTTCATCGGCATGACATAAACTATAAAGCAGAGGGTGAGTTGAGCTTAATTTCAAATTTTTATGCAAATCGTTCCAAGGTGAAATCATTTTCTTCGCATTATAAATTTTTTTATATTAATCTCTAATAAGGGTCACTTTTTAAGGATTGAAATATGATGGAACTTTATTCAAAAGCACGAAACTATCATTATTTAATTAATTCAAACCAAATTTTACCCATATTCAGGTTTAATATGTTATTTTATAATTTTTGACAATTAGGGGTAGTTTTCACCCCTAAGAACAATCAGGGTTCGTCGACATGACATAAACCATAAAGCAGCGGGTGAATTGAGCTCTAATCCAAATTTTTAACCAAATCGATCCAAGGCGAAATCATTTTTTTAGAATTAGTAATGTTTTTACATTAATCTAACAAGGGTTGCTTTTTAAGGGTTGAAATATGATGGAACTCTATTCAAAAGTATAAAATAATCATTATTTAACTAATTAAAATCAAATCTTACCCATATTCAGGTTCAATATGTTATTTTATAATTTTTGAAAATTAGGGGTAGTTTTCACCCCTAAAACCCTTCAGCGCACTTCGGTTCGATATAAATTTTGATCCTTGGGCTATCACCTACCTTCTGTTAAAATTTCAACTAAATAAATGCAGGACGAAAAAATTGCGAGGTTTTAACTTTTTTCGAGCTTCATTTCCTGAACTATTATCGCTTCCTTAGACAAACCCGTCTTACGCAAACAACATTGTTACGAGACAGATAGTTGAACGACATTTTATACAATGTCTATACCCAGGTATGGATTTATTTTTGTCCAAGTTTTATATTGGTCCACTATTTCAAATGCAGTTCAAACAGACATGTATTAAATTGTATGTTCCGTTTTAATTTGGTTCAATCTGTATATATATATATATATTATATATATATATATATATATATTATATATATAGATATATATATATATATATATATATATATATATATAATATATATATATATGTTATATATATATATATATATATATATATATATATATATATATATATATATATATATATATATATATATATATGTTTTTATATTGATTTTAAAGCAGAAAATAGTCGTACTCGAGTATACAACTTTAATAAATGTGGAAAATTGTGACAAGGATCTGTCGTAGCATCACAAATTTCTCAATCCGAATTCTGTGTTTCAGTTTAACACGTTAAGCCCCGGACCATCATGAGACTGGAATATTTTTTAAATAATTTTGAAATAAGAATGTATATAACTATTTATTTTTATTCTAAAATAAAAAAATACATTTTTTAAGTAAAAAACAGCATGTATCAACACGGTCTATTTATAATTATTTTTGTAATTTGTTTTAATGTGGACCATCAGTGTCGTATTGGCTCACACCAGGAAGATAATTAAATACCTTTTCCTAAGATATTTTAAGTTTAAAAACACAAAAACAATTTATTTTTTTAAAGAACATGTATGAATATTCACAAAACACTTCAACACACATATGCGGTAGTAACAGCACATGCCGGAAAAAAAGTGTATACCCTTTTGGCCTTCTTCATCGCTGATGTTCTTCCTTCACTGTTCGAAAAGTTTTTATAACATACTGAACACCTTCTCCTTTTCTCTTTTTCGTTCAACATATGCAGAGTTGTTAAAGTGTTTTCAGAAGTTGTTT